CAGGGCTCACCTGGGATGGTGTTGTCCAGCACGAAGGCGACGCAGCCCCCGACGAACATGGCCGTGGTGAGCAGCACGTTCAGCACCTGGTCGATGCCCGCGATTCCTGCGGCACAGGGAACACCAAACCAAACCTGCTGGGCTTCTCCAGCACCCTCCTCCTCCTCCTCCTGCTGCTCCCACCCGGGCCAGGGCTCTGGGCACTGACACAGAACCTCCCCCAGGGCACCACCCGGGACATTGCTCCCCAAAATGCAACTGCAGAACTGCCAGGAATGTCCCGCAGCACCACTTCAGTTCCTGCTGCAGACACCACTAATCTGAGCTAAGCAGAAAACCTCAGTGGGGTGCAAAAGAGAAACGTTCAGGTTGTAAAATCGTAACTTTTAAAAGAGTAATGATTATATAATTCTTTTATAAATAAATACAATTATTTTTGTAAATAATTCTTTTTATAAATCTTCATCAAAGGAGCAAAAATTCCCAGCCCCAGTTATGGAAGAACACTGCATGAACCACATAAAGCTTGAGGGATCTGCTTTTCTAACCACTTACTGCAGGACAGATATGCCCTTAAATCCTGGTCTGAAGGCATAGTGGAAAGAAAAGTCAGTTAATACTTTGTTTAAAAACCCCCAAACAAACCCAAAGCAGTAAAATATTTCCTTTGAGTCCATCCCTGGTGACACACACTGGCATGAGCCCTGCTGAGGATCACATGAAAAGATAAAACCTTCCCACAGAACTCCTCAAAGCTACAATTCCATTAACAGTCTGCAAGGGAATTCACTAGAATTAAAATTCACACCCAGAACACATCTGAGTGACAGAAACTTTCAGCCCCCAAACAATTCCCCACCTTCCAAACTCTGCCTTGGTGTTTCCCCTTAATCTTTTAACATCGTTTACAGCTCACAAGACCCTTTCAGTTTTTCTTTCAGCCCAGTTGCTCACTGCCCCCTTCCATTGCTGAAATGCACCCAGAGGAAGCAGGAAAGCTTCAGCTGTGCCCCACTGGAACACTCCCTGCAGGTCTCAGCCTCCCAAGGAATTCCCTGAACACACACAGAGCTTGTCTGGACCTACAGCCTTTCCTGTCTGTGCCATTTGCGTTTTTCCTCCATAATTTGGGTCTTGCCTCCATAATTTGTGTTTTTCCTCCATAATTTGCATTTTTCCTCTTCCTGACCCTCTGTACCTGATGGATTTTCCACGTGAGCACAAGGCAGAAGTGCTGATGTGGAGGAGCAGCACCACGTACCTGTGACCAGGGGGTTCTGCTTGAGATAGCTGGGGAGGACGAGCCCGAAGAAGATGGAAAACCCCAGCACGAAGAGATTCCGAGAAGAATTGAGATCGATGAACTGCAGGTTGGACAGACCCACGGCCGTGATCATCCCTGAACACAAAACACCCCAAAGACCAGCTTTTAGGTGAGTCTTTTTCTAAAAAAAAACCCAGCAAAATATCCCTGAAGGTATGATACCTTCCAGTACATTTGGAATGCTTGGTTAGAAAGTCCATGTTAATAGCACAGTTTTAGTTAACAGCACAAAACTGAGTTAATAGCACAGCAACTGCTTTTTCTTCTTTATTTTTTAGTCTGTTCTTAGAAACTAGCAAACCTGAGAATCAGTGCACCATGAAAGCACAGACCATTGCAACCAGAAAGAGAAGATTTTGGTACATTGCTAGGAAAATGTTACTCCTTTCTCTGGAGATTTCCTTCTGTTAAGCTAAACGTAAAGCAAGCCGCTAACACTTGCTTTGCATTTGGATATTCTTTTGCACAAAACAATCTTTTTCACTACCCAAAGCGTGCCTGGAGGATCACACTGGTTCCTACGAGCAAATATTTCTCAGAAACAGCGAACAGCAAAGCCTTACCAAAGAGGGTGCAGAAGAGAGCCCCCAGCACGGGGTCGGGCAGCGATGCGAAGAGCGCGCTGAACTTGCCCACCATGCCCAGCAGCAGCATGAAAGCTGCTCCATACTGGATCACCCTGCGGCTCCCAACCTGCAGGAACGGGACAGGACACGGGGTGAGCTCTGCACCCAGCCCAGCCCCACACCTGCCCTGGGTTGTGTAGGTCAGGCTTCATTTCAGCTCCCTCCCACGTCTCCTCCGGGTGCCGGAGGCTCGGCTGAGCCACAGCTGCTCTGCAGCCCAGCTCAGCCTCCCCTGGCCAGCCCAAAAACCATCTGGAGCTGCCACAGCCAGCAGGAAACGTGGTGCAAAGCAGAGATGGCAAATGGAAAATACCAAATCAATTCCCCGTGCTGCTGCCCGGGGAATGGATGAAACAGCTCCCAGGAGGTGGGAAGGAGGGGCAGCAATTTTAGTTTAGATTAGCAGCTGGTTTTGGGACACCCTCAGAGAACAGGGCTGAATGCAAATCAGGGCTGTGCTGACAACTGAAACCAAGGGCCTGCACTTCCTTCCCAGTTTTATTTTAAGAATTCAAGATTCAAGCAGCCAGTGGCTCTCTGTGCTGCAAGGGTAGTGGCTAAACCTGAAGTTGGTATTTTAACATCTTCTACTGCCACAAGAGGTGCCCCAGGGACAACAAAATCTCCTTTACATTAAGATGGGTTCTAGAAAAACCCTTTGCCCCCTGGTAGAGAGCAGCAGGGTTCAAAGAGGAAATATTAATTTGTTCATCATGTGTGACTGAGCTAAATGAGAGAAATGAGAAACTACAGATCCAACAGGCCTGAGGAGGGAGAAATCCTTCCTTGCCCCACATTCCTCACTGCTGAGCTCCAGGTGAGCTCCCTCCCCTGCAAACAGAGTTCTGCTACACCATCAGCTGGAATTACAACAGAATTTAGCTGGAACCTTTCTCTGCTCTTTATAGAAATATTCATTTCTGCAGGGCCACTGAGATCCTGCCCTACAATTCTCTTCCTGCCAGGAACAGACAAATCCTGTGAACACCTGCATGACAGTGACATTTATTTATGCAAACAAATTAAGCTCCTCTAGAAAACTACTGAAAACATCCCAGGCAGCATTTAGCTCGGGCTCTGTATTTATTCCCAGCACACAAACACTCAGTGATTATTTTGGAGTGCATCAAATGGTACCTGGAGCCTCCATTTCAGCATCACCACTATGGCAAGAGCTGCTTTAGCCCCAGCTAATCACAGTTAATTGATCTTGCTCCCATCAAGTAAAACACACACAGGCTCAAAGGCTTTGCAGCACCTCCATCCAGCAGAATTTAAATTCCAAGTGTAATTATACACCAATTTCCAGGGAGGGAAGTGCCCTGGTGATGCAGCACTGAAGATCTCCTCTCCCAAATCAACAGCAGAGCATCTCTGAGCCAAAATTCTATCTGAAGCAGCAGAACTGCTGGGTTTTGGGGGATGGATGTGCAGGCAGGGGAACAAGAGCACAGCCTGTTGCAGCTGTGCCACTCTGGGCAGGCAGCTCCACTCCCCGCCACAGCTGCCACTCCAACTTTCCACTGCCCCAGCATGAAATGCACACTCATTTCTGTGGGCTGCTCATAAAAAGTGCTGTTAATTCATCTCAACCCCCACGAAGGAACAATGGGAAGGGAGCAGAACAGAAGAAACCTTTCTTCGGGTTTTTTTTTCTGAGCAGAACTTCTCTCCTAGGAGATTTCCACGGGCAGCTGGATGGCAGCTGGCACAGACAGCAGATGGTGCTGTTCGTGTTGAACTGCACCCCAAACCCGGCAGAATCTCCCTTTGTGCAGCACAAGGGAGGGCTGAGGACAAATACATCATTTATACGTGATCAGGCCAGGGGGATGAGTTACTGCAAGTGGAGGACAGACATCTTCTATCCTTGCACGAAGGGTTCATGGCTCCCACATTAAACACCCAACAAGATGGACCCATTTACAACATAAATCACCCTCAGCAACGCTGCTGCTGTCTCTTACCAAGGTTAAATGAACAGTACCAGGCAGATCTCTCTGCAGCCAAGGCCTCCCAGCTCATCCAGGCACAGATCCAGCCCCACACGTGAGCAAAGGAGCTCCTCAAGCACATTTTGTTGAGCAACATCACCAGAACTACGTAAACCCCCGAGCCTTAAACCCAAACATTTAGGGTACATTTAACTCTGAAATGAGCTTGGCTGCAGCCCCTGTGCCAGTGCCATGTCCCAGCACAGACGTAAATAAAGCCCAAGCACCTCATGCTGCATTTCACTGTGTGTGTGAGGCATTAAAATGTCACTTCCCACTGATGCTTTCAGAGCCAAGATATCCAAAAAGCAGCAATTTTGACACAGTTTACAGAGTTTATGCCTCAACTCAAACCACCCCAGAGCCCTGGAATGTTGCCTGGCTTTTCCAAGAGACAGTTTGTGCAGCAGCATCTGCTTTATGGGGATTCTAACTGCCTTTTATTTGGAATAAAAGGATTTCTGAGGTCCTGAGGCACAATAATGCATTTCCCTCAGACAAGAGCTGGTACAGGCAGTCAGGGACACTCAGAATGATCCGGGAAGTTTGTGTGAACAGGAATGGAGCAGAATGGTCTGCTGGAAGAGGACTGTGAACACAAGGAACACTCGAGCCCCTGAGGGCTCACAGCAAAGCACTTCACCTTTGTGATGCCCAGGACCCCAATGTTGGGGCTGGAGGAGGTGGATCCATTCCCTGTCCCAAACACTCCGTCCAGAACACAGGAGAGACCCTCGATGAAAATCCCCCTGCAAATCCCAAAGAAAACACAGGAGTCACCTTGGTACAGGCACACATTCACTGGGAGGGTGCTCCACGCCCCCATGCCACAGGGGCATCTGCTCCACCATGAAATCATTGCAATTCACGTTTCAAGCTCCAACACAACCTGGAAAACACACTGGGGTTCTGTTTCCTGAGTCTTAGATCCCCACATTCTTAAACTGAGCAAATTCCATTAAAAATTCAAGCGAAACTTCAGAGCTGCTCTTTGTTTCTAAACTGCATTCCAGGTCATTTTGACAGCCCCAGTTCCAGAACGAGTTTAGAGCTCTATCCTCATGGAAATCGTGCTGGTAACTTCCACAGGCTCCAGCAGGAACAGGACTGGGATTCAAATGTACCTAAACAACCCAAGGTGCCAGTTCCACCCTGCATTTCAGATCCTTGGCTCTGCACTTTGACCAAACTGCAACATTTCACCTCGGAGCACATTCCTGCTTACCCAAAGGGGGAAAAAAGCAAAAACCCAAGGAGGCTGAGACCCTGGAGGTGTTTCTGTGGGGACAGACCTGTTGATGGCGTGGATGGGAGGAGGAGGAGCACAGGAGAGCCGGGCACAGGCGTAGTAGTCGCCGATGGACTCGATGATGCTGGCCACCACGGCGCTCAGCATGCCGATCACGCCCGCCGCCGAGATGGTGGGCAGGCCCCACTGGACTGTGGAGAGAGCAGAACTGAAACCTCTGCTGCCCCAGCACACAGCCTGCCTGCCCAAACAAACAGAAACTGCTGGCACCGGGGAATGGGTTGGGTTGGGAAGGGCTTTTAGGATCCCGCAGCACTGCCCAGGCCAGCGCTGACCCCGTCCCCGAGTGCCACATCCACAGCGCTGCTCAGCCCCTGGGCATGGGGACCCCAGCACTGCTCCAGGGCTGGGCAGCCCTCCTGGGCAAGAAACATCCCCAGTATCCAACCTGCCCCTCCCCTGGCACAGCCTGGGGCCGTTCTCTCTCCTCCTGGTCCCTTATCCCCATTGGGGTAAGATCCCAAATCCACCCTGGCTGTCCCCTCCTGTCAGGAGCTGTGCAGAGCCAAAGCTCTCCCTGATCCCCTTTTCTCCCTCTGAGCCCCTTCCCAGCTCCCTCAGCCCCTCCGTGTCCTTGTCCTGAGGGGCCAGAAGTGACCCTGGGGTTGAGGGGGGCCTCCCCATGCCCAGCTCTGTGCCAGGCTCTGTTTATTTGTCTTTGATGGGAACAACAAACTCCCTTCACTCTAACGCAGTCTGGCAAGTTCAAGGAGATGAAAGGAGCAAAGGAAAAACCGCCAAACCAACTGCTTTGATCACACTTGGAAAAATCCCAGAGAACTATAAAACCCCACGAAAAAAAAAAATCCTCCTGTTCAGGAATCAGGAATTTGAGCTAGAGCTTGTGAGAAAACAATCCTGGCCAGTGAGGCAAATGCCACTGTATTCTCATTGCTCCAAAAGCTCACTTTGGTCACAAGTTTAGTGGACCAAAAAGGATGGCACCAGCATTGATCACTGCACAAACACCTTCCAGCTCCAAATTTTTGTAGCAGAGAAAACAAGATTAATTTAAGCCTGCAGAAAAGCCTGGCAGGTTTTCCACAGCAATTGCCTTGAAGCTTTTATCTCTTTGAAATAGATGAGCCTCCAGCAACAAAGGGATCTTCAGTCACACAGGAGTGAATGAACCTTACAAATACAAATGGGCTGATCAGGGTGGAGAAGTTTTCCTCCTCTTCCTTCCCAAAAGCTTCTGCTCTTCATCTCCTTGCTGTTTTAGAAGTGGTTTCTTTTAAGAACCAAAGCATATGGAAAAGCACAATGAAGCTGCCTCATCACAATGTGGTGGCATAGCTGATAATTCCTGTATTTCTATTCCAAAAGAAAGATATTCCCTAATTACCCTGTTCAATTCTGAAGGGTGAACCAGCTGTGCCATCTCATGCCACAAACCCAGCCTGTAACAGCTTTAAACTTAGAGGTGGCCAACATCAAAACACATCCAAAACGTTGTGTGAAGTGTTTGGTGCTTTCCTGTAAATGATTTCATTGCCCTGTGATAAGCAGGGCCTGGCATTCTCTGACTTGCCCGTCCCAGCACTGCCTTGGCAAGTCAGGGCATTTTTCTGCCATGAACACTTGTGCTCGTCCAGGAATGGGTGTGTTTGGGGCAGGGAGTGCAGCAGGCTGGGAGAAACTCCCCACAGAAGAGATTCTTCAGAAAATGAGAGCCAGTGACTTCAGCAGAGCTGTAAAAACCTGTCCCTGGCACTGTAACATCAACAGCACTGCCAAGGACTGATAAATCAGCCAGCCCTTGGATTCCACCTTGTAGGTGCAGTCACTTGTTATCAGGAGAGCCACCCAGATCAATCCTGCAAACTGCAGCCTCAGAACCTCAGCCTTCCTCGGCTGAGACCTTAAGGCATCAGCTGAAGAGGAAAACAAGGAAAAACCACCAGCAGGTAATGAATGGTGTGTGCTGGAACTGTGGAATGGTTTGGACTGGGAGGGACCCTGCAGAGCCATCAGCAGGGACCCCTCCCACTGTCCCAGGCTGCTCCAAGCCCTGCCCAGCCTGGGCCACTGCCAGGGATGGACCATCGACCACCCAAAGGTTATGGAATAGAGCACTGAGAGAGAGCCAGCAGAGCTCTGGAACAGGGGGATGGCACTGCTGGGCTCTGGGGAACCAGAGTTATGGAATAAAGCACTGAGAGAGAGCCAGCAGAGCTCTGGAACAGGGGGATGGCACTGCTGGGCTCTGGGGAACCAGAGGAATGATCCTGCTGGGTTCTGGGGAACCAGAGTTATGGAATAAACCACAGACAGAGCCAGGAGAGCTGTGGAACAGGAGGAATGACCCTGCTGG